AAGTTAGAAGGATCTGTAGAGGCCAAATCGCCGTCGGAATTGAGCTTATGCGTCTTTATTGATAAGTACAAAACGGGGCAAATCGGAAGATCTAGCTTGAGACGCGCAATGACATCGTGCGACATATTCGCTGCTTTAGCTGTTTCAATCCATTTCTTGTTGAGTACGCGATACTGTTCTGGAATTCGTCAACAGAAGCAGTTCGATAGAGCGAAACGTCCTGAAGGTGTAATTTTGTTATTGCGTCTAATTGGTGGGGTATGACTACAAACTCGCCACCTTTATCGCTAATAGATAGTCTTATTTGTCTTGATCTTATCAATTCTTGTATTTGTTTGATGCCCTGTTTTTGTAAATGAGAGAGGTCAGACTTCATTTTACGTTGGCGCACCCGTGCTATCACTTTGAAAACCTCGTCTGCAAAGAGACGGAACCTGACATCGACACTGGGATTGGCTCGTTGCTGTTTAAAGAAGGTACAGGGGAAAGGTAGTGATAGACGTGTATGAGAAGAATTTTGAATCTCGCTCCCGCTTTCTAGGTTCATGCGCTTGCGAAGCCTATCTTGAAGCTCATGTAGATTGCAAGTAATTTTACGCAGGACTACTTTGGAGATTGGCTGTGGAGGTGAGAAACTTGGACCTAATTCGAGAACAGAACGTGCATTTGCAGAAAGGAGGAAACCTCCACTTACAGTAACTCTTGATGTTGGATGGTCTGAGATTTTATTCCCACTTTCACTCTTATCCAGAGGTGTTATACAGCTTGACTCAGTGGCAGCTTTATCCCGTGATTTACTCAAGAGGTTGTCGAACTTCCTCTGTAGAGTTGTTTTGGTACCAGAACGAATATGGTCGCAAATCGAAATTGAAGCACTTACTATTCTCTTCCAGAGACGATCTTCAAGGAAACGTGAACAACATAACTCTTTAGATATACATTTACGTAACCAAGTATACATTTGATCTCTCTTGCGACGTAACGCAATACGTAAGAATAGGAGTTCTACAGCTTGCACTTGATGATGTTCTCTGGCAAACCGCAGAGTTCGTGTATCCTTTTGCGGGCTATGAAGTTCGGGATGATACGATGTTGAAGACAGCGGTTGAGAAAGTATATCATTGCCTTGTTGACACGATCTTTTGTCTTAATGACAATGCTTCCCTCACGAGTCGCTTGTACTTGGCTGGTACATCACATATCAATTGAATAGTGCGACTTTCAATAAATCTCGGCATGATAGTAATATTTTGCTCTTTCTTCTTAAGCCATACACGAGATTGGTAATCGATTTGTTTGATCCACGGCTAACGTTTCGGCAGATCGCCTTCGTCAGAGCCTGTAAGGGACAATACGATTTGCACCCAATTCGAACCGGCACCTCCACAGCTGAACAGACGAAATGCTAGACCTGGTCTCTAGTGGTCCGCAAGAAAAGGCAGAATCGATGGCGCTTGCCCGTAGTATAGCGGCTTCTAATGGATATACACATGCAGGAATAACAAAGAGAAGCAGTAGAGATCACGTGCGAGCAGATGCCCCTCACGTTACTGAAAAAAGTTACATTTTGCATCCCATATATATCTAAAGAAATGAGTGCATCATTGCGACAGTGCTTGAGAAGAGTAGGATTTGAGAATCTGGTTACTTTTGTTGAACTACCGCCAAACAACCTGAAAACCATCTTAGTTCGCAATCGCTTGTATGATCGCAATTGTGTCACCCCGAATTGCATAATCTGCCCTGCAAGCAGAGAAGAGGATTGCATGGCAACTGGAGTCATCTACTTAATCTCATGCACGACTTGCGGTGAGGAATACATAGGGGAAACAGCGCATCCACTATGTATCCGTATCAAAGAGCATATAGACGGCACAGATAAGGCACGTACATCGACACCCCTAGGCACCCACAGAGTAGCGCAACATGCAGGATCAAACTTTGAGATTTCTGTAAGAATCTTGGCCTATGAATCCCAGACACAAGCACGTAAGTGTTTGGAAGCGTTCTGGATTCATGCCAGAAACCCAAGAATGAACCGAAAAGAGGAAAACCTAGCGATTACGCATGAACTTTTTCCTTATCTAGATCAGTTATTCTGATCTGGTAGTATATAAGTAGCGGTCTGCATGCAAGTCTAACAAGTCAAACTTTCTCTATCACCGGACGACGTGACCCAACTTTTCCTCTGAAGAGGAGTATCGGCGTAATCCAAAGGGTACGTGCTTGACCGTGCAGCTGAACTAGTAATCGAAAACGAGGTCTAGCATTTCGTCTGTTCAGCTGTGGAGGTGCCGGTTCGAATTGGATGCAAATCGTATTGTCCCTTACAGGCTCTGACGAAGGCGATCTGCCGAAACGTTAGCTGCGGATCAAACAAATCGATTATCAATCTCGTGTATGGCTTAAGAAGAAAGAGCAAAATATTACTATCATGCCGAGATTTATTGAAAGTCGCACTATTCAATTGATAAAGGTTCTACCACTTGAACATGTAATTCCCTATTCCCGCTGTGTGAGTAATCAGTATGCTCACCTACCTTCCTCACCAACCCCCAGCCCCGTAGCTCAAACTTTGTAAAAAAAAAAACAATAAAATCGATAGAAGTAAGGATAACTCTAAAAACTGATGGCGTTATTCGGCTGTCCGGGCCCCAAAATGTTTTTGTGGTGTGTCTTGCTCAAACTCGGTGTATGGGGGTTATTCAAGCCGCTGATGACGAATATGGTAGTCATTTCGTGTGGCAGCGGGTAAAAATCGTAAACCTGCCTGAAACCTTGTCAGGGGTTTACCTAAAGTGCTGTTTCAAGAATATCGTTTTCACTCCTCGCGATAAAAGCACTTTTTGTGGTATAGGAGGATTCCCACGACCGTAATGCTTTCCTTATAGGGCCACTGCCGCGCGCGAGACACCCTTCGGCGGCTTTTGCCTAAGCAAAAACAGGGGGAGGGAGATTTGCCGCGTGCGTTACACGTTGGGACAGGTTATCAGGATGGCGCTGGAGACCGTCATGCAAAACAACCGTTTTCCCCATTTCGTGAATATCTGGGATCTAAATTGGTCCGAAAGCGAAAAAATGTCCATTCAACTTCTGCAACTCACCATAATTTCACTAATGCGTTGTGACAGCGAGCAAGCATCGTATTCATAAGCAGTATACTTGTGAACCGTTACAGGTAAGGTTTTGAGCAAATCTGTAACTTCGTCCATCTACACCCAACGTAACCCATGAAAATGCACTACCCTGCGAAATCAGCATGATATTTATGTTCAGCGCGTTAAATGACCACCCTAGACGAAGTTTAAAGCAAATCTATGTTTTTGACCCATCCCGTATAACCACCATAACTCTATGAAAAGGTCCCAATGCAGAGAGAGTATGAAAACGTAATCAGCATGTCGAATAAGTTCTCTGGACTAAACTCCAGCCGAATTCATGGTTTTGACTTCCTACCGTACAACTACCGTAAGTAACCACACGGGGAGACGTTCTGCGGAGAAAGTGTGATATCTATTTTCAGCACGTAAGATAACCCTAATACATAAAGTTTGAGCAAGCTCTGCGGCAAAAAAAAATTTCGGGGCCCGAATAGCCGAATAGCGCCAAACTAATATTGTGTTCGTAATCAGCATGTTCGAATACCCCCCTGTGCAAACTCCCAGCCCCGCAATTCAAACTTTACAAAAAAATCGATAAAATCGATAAAAGTAATCGATAATTCTGGAAACTGATATTGTATTCGGAATCCCCATGCTCACTTACCCCCCTGTGCCAACTCTCAGCCCCGTAGGTGAACTCTGCAAAAAAATCGATAGAAATCGACGTCGATCGATGACGAAAAGTAGCCTATGACACCCACCGGGGTAAGGTGTATGTGTGCCAAGTTTGGTCCGGATCGGTTCAGAAATGGAATTTTTTATTCGGAACATACGTACATACAGACATACATACATACATACATACAGACAATCAGCTTTATATATAAGATGATGGTTTTCTAGATGATAATGGTAAACCAGTACTTCTAACTTTCTTTCATTCGACCATTCAATCTCTATCAATGACCAAAAATTATTTCTATGTCCGAAATTCCGTATTCCACAATTTTTCCTTCTCTATCAAGATTCCTGCCCAAAATAGACTTAATCAGTGAAAAGCGATACGGAGAAATTTATTACGATATTTGATGTACAGGGTGTCCCAAAAGAAGTACACACTTTTCAATAATTAATACCTCTCTTCCCATTGATACCTCAGCGTGCTTGCATTTTCTATAATTGGCTTGACTGACTTTTTCAGTACAAATCATGTTATCAGTACCAAGTCGATTACAACTTCCTTCCCCCTCTAAGCCCTTAATCCCCCAGGAATGACGTGCCACGCTCCACGCTTGATCCTGGAAAAAAACAAAATCTAGCTTGCATAAGACTTCGATGCTCTGGCGCAAAGAGTCAAAAGGGACATCTCTGATTACCCCACACTGGAAAACTTACGACAGCCGAGAATTTTTCTTTCATTTCCCTGCAAATCTGCGGTTACTAGTCATCCTTGCTCAGTACACCGATGGTCTTTCCAATAAAAAAAGATAGATCTAAGCAGCTGCGAAGGACAGCTTTGTAAGCTCGCCTTGACCTTGGAAAGAATTGAGTCATAAACATTATGCAAACAATCTTTTCACTCACTGTGCATTTTCTGCAGTGTCTCATTGTAACTTTGAACTAAACTTAGGAAGAGTGGAGTATGACGAAGCAATTTCAGAAGATCAAACAAGTACAAACCGGTTTTCATGAGATGCTACTTTTGTTTGAACAACTTTTTTTGGAGGATACTTTTGAGTAAGCCAAGTGCTCGCAAGATACGTATACCTTCGGCATTCAAAGTCATTTCACTTGGACTCGGCAGCTGCAGCTTCCACTTCTTCGCGTTAATCGGTAAGTATAGTGTTTTCACCTCTCTGTGTTTGAAGAAAGCTTACTTACTTGCAGAGTATTGTCAGAATGTTGCCCTTTATGAAACTCGTCGTAATTTTGCTATGTTTGAGATTTTCTGCGGAAGAGTTGGTAAAGCGGAATTTAATGACAAGCATTTATATTGTCTCAAATAGTGAAAGTGAGTTTGCAGAAGAAAGTTGCTTCCACCACCCACATTTAACAAGCCGTCTTATTACATTCCTTGAAAGTGTTGTACTCGGGCAACCCAATAATCTAGCCACAAATGTTGGAGCTTTTCAAAATTATTAAACAAATTCTTTTTACAGAGCAGACACAATATTTGCCTTATCAGTACTACTTAGAGTATTACTACACAACTTCTGCTCCCCACTCAAATCAGCAGTGCGTGGGTGAGGCCATCCTAAGCGAAATATGGATACAGTGAGAACAGAACTACACATTTCAGGGCCGTGCGTGAATAGTCAGTGTCCAGCAGGATACGTATGCAATGCATATAATGTGTGTTGCGCTCCGATGCTTCGAAACTAACTCTTTTATGGAAGACAACAACAATACGATTTCACGAGCAAATTTTTACCACAAGATTCGAATTGTTCGCTTTATTTATATGAACATGTTATATTCTCTCGACTAATAATAGCTGCAGGTGACTGTTTTTGCGTTACAGTTGAATGATCAATATCCATTCTCGACCCGGAAGCGGATGTGTGCTAAGTTTAGTCCGTATTGGTTCAAAAATAATTTTTTTATTTGGAACATACGTATACACATATATTACACATATAACATTTATTTACTATCACATAATATTCTTTACACACATACTTCATGAGTTCGTAGCGTCTTCATTTTTCTCCTCAATTCTTTGGGAAGCTGTTGATTTTCGGCAGGATGTGTATATCAGTGAAAAGGGCTGATCACGTTTGAATTACTAACTGGTTTTGATGGAAAGCTAATCTACTCCGATATTTTAGCTTCCAAAGATGGAAATCTAAGAAGGCAAAAAGATGCATTTTCGACACCTAATGAATTCTGCGCATAAAAAGCAAGCGTTTCTTACAGTTTGCTAGCATATTATGGAATAATGGTGCTCGCTAGTCAATTTAAGACAAAAAGAGATTAGCTTGCTTTTAAAGATCAAGAATTAAGCAGTGTGCATATGAACATGACCTTTAGAAGAATGGGTGGAAGGTCCTGGGTTATTGGTGGACAAGAGAGAGACTGTTGACCGCACCATGCAATGCAATTTCACCGTCTAAACGAGGCCATACCACAAAAAAAGCCCTATAGGCAGATCCACTAAGTTTTCCTGCGCGACAAAAGGTGACCCCATACGGCAAACGTCCTGCAAAACCTGACTGGAAGGCACCGGCAAATGTCCTGCAAAACCTGACTGGAAGGCACTCCAGTATCCAAACTTTTCCCCACTTGCTCTATCAGATTATCATTTGTTCCGCTCTCTCGCAAACCTTATGAAAGGTGCAAGGTGCCTCAACTGCGAGTAATTTGAGCGCTGGCTAGATGACTTCCTTGAGACCCGGCGCGCTGCCGTTTGAAAAATGAGGTGGAAAAGCTGACAGAGATGTGGCAAGAGGTCTTACTGCGTCGGGGAATGTTTGTTGACTAATTTACTAATTTTTACTAAAAAAGATGACATCTCTTGGTTTATAAAAACGCTACAAACTTATAGACAGTGTCCCGGCAGATTTTGCACCTTCACCTTTTTGCATGTTCTAGGCCTTTTCGCCACGTAGAATCGGAATTTGAGCTTTGAACGGGCTGAAAAGGCCTATATTGGGGCGTTATTCTAATTCCAAAAAAGCAACTCGGACGAGATTTTTATAATGGAAAGTTGGGAGGTCCTCAGAAGAAGACCCTGCCGCTTGTAATTCTTGCTTTGGATAGCATGCATCACGGAGGAGAGCGCTCGTGGGGCCCCGCGCTGAATGGGCAAGGAGGGCCGTCCAAGCGCGGAAAACAGACATTCAGCTTCATTTACAGAGATACCCAAGCTAAAGTTTGTAGATTCCTCAACTGTTTCATAGAGATTCAGCTGCGAAACTGGTACATTTGAGTGTGCTATTCACAATTCTATATAACAACGTTTGTTTAGTCACTTACCCATATAACATCAAAGTTGGAGCACCGCTTATCATGTAAAAATGTGTGAAAATAAACGCATCACTCGCAACACAGAATAGAAGAAAGTTATTGTGTTCTTTCTCGCTCATTTGCTTCGAAGGCGTTCAACTGTCATAACGTCTACTTCTTTCCCAGTATGCAGAAAGTTTGCAACATCATAGCAAAAGATTAAATGCCATGAAGAGAAATGCATTTTCTGTCTTTTTTCTTCAAATCTTCGTCATAAGTGGCCAAAATATAGGCAAGAGCAAGATCTATCGGCTGCACAAAATCCCACTTTTAGAAATTTTTAAAAAGAAACAAAAAATTTTGAAAACGTGCTGTTATTTTCTCGCTTAACACATTTTGGACTGCGGAATCCAAAGTTGGCGTGGTTCTCTATCTTGAACGAAACTCGTGAAAGATCTTTTACTTAGATAAAAGTACTTGTCTGGCGATCGCGCAAATTGCGCTACTCCACCCCTTTTTAAAACGTCAACACTTTTATACGGTTATCTGTCGCAGTTTCTACGCATTGAGCGAAGTCAAGACTTTCAAGACTCAAATAAAAAAAATATTTTGAGAACTTTATTGGAGCTAGTCAGAGATCCAGGAAAATTGTTTGTTTATGCCATGAGTTGTGTTGATGCATATTGACGTCATCAATTTCGGCCTCCTTCATGCCTCCAGGCTAAAATTCAGCTTTGTGAGAAACATTGTTGAGATTTTGCATGAGATGTATAATGAGTTTCTTCATGCTTTTAAGCCGTAGCCTGTACCAAATAAAGGATGCAATAAAAACTTTCTTGTAATCTTCATCTTTTAAATTCAATATTAAATTACACCTTTTTTTAAAATCTCTTTTCTACTGCTTGCAAAGCTCTTGCGGCTAGACCAAGTAAGACTTGGCGATTTTGAGGCTTAAAATGATTAGCTGCAAGCCTGTTAGCTAGGTCACTGTTTTACTATTGGCACGTGTCTTAATTTTTGCTTAGAACTCGGTATGAAAATTGCCACGTTTTATTGTACGAGCAGTAATAACACAACCACTGCGTCCAATTTTATACCACAAATCGTCTCCTAATCATCATCAAACATTAGCGACGGGTTTGCAGCATAGTAGCGGCGCTTCAACTAAAAAGTTGCTTTGATTCATGCTTACAGGTATGTGTAAACACAAAATTTACTTTATATTCCCTTCGATCAGCTTCAGCTGAAGAGATACCCATGTCGTTATCGATAGCGATCTCTTCGGCTACAAAACTTCCTCGCCCTTGCTGATCAGCTCTGATTTGCTTGTACTGCTGTTTTGATGCTCTTTGAGCTTGCTTTTGTGCGACTTTTGCTTTATAAGTTTGCTGAAAGCATGGAATCATATTTCTGCAACTTTGTAGCTTTTTCCTACTTGTATGTAATCTGGTTGACGCTGTAAGATTGCGTCGAGACGCCTTTGCTTCTCCGACCTATAATAAGAGTTACTAGATGTCTTTACCTACATTTCCATTATGTTTACAAAAAATATAGCGAAATCCAATACTAGCAACCCAAGAAAAGTTAATTTAGAGGAAGAGGGAAGAAAAGGGCGAGAAAGTTTTGCCAGAATGGGTGGGAAGCTCAAAAACCAGTCTGAGTGACTCTCAGAAGTTGAGTAACCCCAAGTTTATTTTTGGGAAGTTTGATATCCATTCTTTCACTCCATCGTTAAAAATAACAACCAAATTCTGAAAAATAATTCAGCTATGAGTGATAAATTCACTACGGAACACTTTGCGTGCATTTAAAATCCTCTTTTTCCCTTCTCCCTATACGTACCCTATTTAACGGGATTGACGGCTGGAAGGCGGGGCTTTGATGCCCAATCAAGGCTGGGGAATGATCGAAAAACACGCTTGCGAGAGAGACGCAGACTGGGTCGCGGTTACAGCGATCGCCTTCCAGCTGCCATCCAACTGTGTCAAAGGTACAGCCTACTAGATTCCTTGGATAATGTGTGTAATAGCAAGCTGCACAGAAAGTGGGCATGCACGCAGGTTCAAATACATTGGATGCAAAAACCTACGTTTTTTGAACACAATTCGAAACGATGAAGGAAGTCAAAAAGTAAGAAAATCAGTACTTTTGCTTTATGGCTAGCCCCATCTTAGAAAATGTGAAATCGTGCACATAAACCCATTGACTATATTCACTTTTAAACCTTTAAGAGCGTACCTGATCATATATTTGTCATCATCAAGCATTTCCAACTCTCTTTTATCAGCACCCCGAGGAAGGAGGTCTTCGAGCTCGTCGATGTATACGGGACCGGAAAGGACCATAACGCTTGAGGCGCAAAGTAGTAGAAGTAGTCTCATCTGTTAGATATTACATGAAGTTGATAAATAAGTAATCTTATAAGCGTGAGAGGTGGCGTTTGCAAGCACTGAAAACATAAACTCGAACCACGGCGATAATGCTAAGTGGTAAATAGGCAAACAAAAGCGACATTTGCATAAAAGTGGAGTTCCCTACGTCAGAAACTTCAAACAACACTTTTATACCTCTGAGAAAACACTGAGCAAACAGACATGTACTGCGCAGTCTTTGCCACTTTTTGTTGGCCTTAAATTGAACTCCTGTTCTTGTCGTGTAATTTATATCATTGCCACCGATATTTTATTCCTGAATTGGGAGGAAATGAGGAGAGTTTGTCTTAGCCTTACAAGTCCAGCATTTTATCGTAAATGGATACGTCTGATTTGGGAGATTTTGAAGAAAAAACCATATCCTTTTAGCACCATATGGAGCACAGACAGACCGACGTCTTAGTTTAAACTATACTCAGATTCGGTTGTTGAAAATGCAAGCTTTACTGGAGTTGTATTTTGATTGATAGTGGTCCAGTAAGCCACTTCACAAGCTACTTTTTCTATTAATAAGAATTTGTTCTTTTCCTCAAGCTACTTTATTGCAAATATGAGGATAATGTTCGTACAAAACACAATGACTGTCAATTTTTATAGAACAATGTTATAGATTTGAAATATCCATAAAGATCTTTTAATTTTACTTCAATTAAAACCTCTAACTTTAACTCATTGGCGACCAATTAATTACTACCATGTGGGACCGCTTGACGTAGATGGTGTTTAAGGCTTGAAAATCGTTAAAATGACGACTATCCTAGTAGTTTGAAAACTTGTGAATTTATTTCGCCCATTGTAAAATCCAAGCACAGCTGCAGTTATGAAGTGGACAGCCTGCTTATTCACACTGACCAACCCTCAAATGGTTTTCTTTGTGTATGAAAAAATCGCAGCAAAAATAAAAATGTTGGAACTTTCTCACGACCTAGACATCTTTTTTTGGTATATAAATCAAATACGGCTTGAGATCGATAAAAACTGGATGCGAGTCCGAAAAGCCTAGGGTTTTTTCTACACCATGTGAGATGTTTGTTATTAAGACTGGACCGAGTGCAAAAAAATGAGACTGAAACAAAATTTCCAAAGCTGCTTGGAACTCTCGTTACAACCTAATATAGTCGTTCTTATTACAATCATGCTTTGTGTTAGATCAAATAAAATGGTATAAATACATAACCCAAAATGATTTTGAAGACCGTGAAATGAAATTACCATGATTTCTGGCACAGGACTCAATTATCAGTCTAATGTAATCCAACCATTTCTGGCAAAGCCGCATGACTTTTTAATCAATTTCAACAACGGGATTTTTCTCCTTCACGCTATCCTAGATGTCTAGCTGCAAACAGCTACGCAAAAAGTATCAGTTATGTCAACCTATCAAATATCGCTTACTTCGCTATATCAAGGAACAGCCCGCCGATAAAGAAGCACATTTTTTGCAACTCGTCTATTTGTGAGGTGCGATCAGCCGAAGTCCATTTTTTGTGCACCTAGCGGTGATTCAAGAGTAACTATCGAGTCACTGTTTACACAGAGAGACCTGTGTTCTCAATCGACTTGCGAGTAGAATTATTGCACACGGGAAGGCTAAAGACAAAAAGTAGAACAAGTGGTAAGAATTTGAAAGCTGCTAAAATAAATTAAACATTGGAGATTTTAGTTACAATAAGCATACTTTTCGCCTAGTCAGTACAGCTGATTCTGAATGACTCTGAAAGAAATTGAAGCAAAGATCGTGATAAGTCTAACGAAGGCCCGATAGTTCAAAAACAGAATGTGTTTCGCTTCAAAATCGATATATCTAAATGGCGACAGTAACAGGGAAACTGTTGATCAAGAGACTCACATAAAAAACAAGCTGAATTGAAATGCATCCAAGTATCTACGTCAAAAATGCTGAGGAAAATTACTTATAAACAGGTTTTGGTCGGAAATATCGTAACACTCTTTCAAGAAAAACTTAAATGTACGATGAACATAGTAATGCACAGAGATTTGAAAACGCCACCATATAATGAAGAATGGATCTGGAAAGTATGAAAATCGACTCATACGGAGTTCAAAATTGGCTATTTTGCCCACTTCAACTAAGAAGTCTCTCACTGCTAGGAAATTTACGATAGCAATTCAGTCAAATGAATTGGCAAATTGAGTTTCGCTGTTGTACAGTCAGTAATTCGGCTTACCTTCATCTATTATTTTGACTTTATATTTCATACTTTGGTAATGTCCGCATGAGTAAGAACAAAATGTTCAAGTCTACAAGACTAGGTGTACCAGTTAGCTGTTATTGCTATTGCTTGAGAAGACTTTGTAGTAGAGTTGATAACTTTTAGTTGCTTTGGAGTAAAGATTCTTAAATGTAGATAGCATGAACTGCAGGTCGACACTGCTGTGAAATAAGCATGACTAAAAGCCTAATTCTATTGACTGATGTTAGTCATTGGTATGAGAAAGCTAGGTCGACCGTGCGTTTAGACAGAAATAGATTAGTTTTTCTATGTGTGAGTCCTTTCTTAATGGACTCACAAATAACTATCCTTAGCTCTCTCATTTTGGACCGTAAGATCTACTTTAACTAAAGATCTTTCTCGGTAGTATTGTCTGGACCGTTCCGGACCAAACTTTGCACCCATACACTCCGGGGCGGGCGGATGTCTTAGGCTACTTTTCGTTATCAATCGATACGATTTTATCCATCTTTTGCAAAGTTTGAACTATGGCCTGGGAGTTGGCACGGGGGGAGGGGTTATCGAGCATGCTGATTACGAATATAATATTGACAGGGCCGGGTGGAGCCGGATTTGCCAGCTAGTACGACGTCAAAAACTTTATGTTCTGGATATCCGAACTGTTAGTGCAAGCTCTAAGCAATCACACAAAGGTTGCTCAAATGAAAACAGCTACACATTGATGTCCTAAGCAACACTCAAACTCTCCATTTTTGGCAATAAAATGTTGAAAGTATCTCCTTGCATGCTTCGTCATTGCTTGGATAAGAAGAGGACCTGTCTATGTCGACAAACTGTGAGGAGCTCGTACTTCTCACTTTCCCTTCTAAACTTCCTCTTTCGCCTACATTTGAAAGAAGATCTGTCTCGAGATTTGAGGAAAGGCACCCGATTCTGTGACAATTCTTTTTCTTTTCCCATTCAAAAATTGCCTTACCATAACTCTCAAATGCAATAATGAAATCATTGCTTTGATATTGTAATAGATTAAATCAATCATTCACAATGTAATGATGCCAAAAAATCCCGACTTTGTCTGGTCGTTGTCTATAAACGTTGACGTTAAATGTTAAGGCATCATAAGATCTTCTTTTAAGTAATTCTCTATTTTACGATTGTTTGATTTTGGAACGCAGTGACGCTTTAATCAGGTTCTTGCACGGCAGTCTTATTCATCTCATTATATTTAAGCATTCTTCAAGATTTAAAAAGCACGTAAGGAGCTCCAACTTGCCTATAGTGCAAAAATGCAGTACAAGCCGACTTAGCTACCGCTAAAGCACAGTACGAACAACGAGCGGCGAATCCACCATGACAAAATGCTGCCAGAGTTGACATAACCCATTTTTGACAGATGCGGACCGAAAAAGATGATTAGTTTGGTAGATGCAAAAACGGTTTTGCAAAATTTTACTTTTTTAGGTGAAGCGCCTATACTACAACGCATGCCCTTCCGCTAGAGGACTCGGATGAGTGGAATCTACTGTTATCCATTTCTGCTGTTTATTTGGAGGTTGCGTCCTAGCGCCGCAACCAACCGACCAGTATGTGAAGTGTCCATGTTGGTCTTGGCAAGGCGTAGGCAGAACCCTGACACGCGGGCACTCTAGATGTTATCTACATTGCAACAGCTACTATTTTCTCGGCTAATTTTCAAAAAGAAGCCTCTCCACTTTTATCATTTCCCACATCTCCCCCAGATACTACTAAATCACAAAAACATTATGATAAGAATTCCATTGAACTGCTATTTTATAATTTTGCTGATACACGTGACTTTGCTGATTCACATACACACCAACACTAGACACGGAGCTGTAAGAGCGGACAATTGCAGTTGCTTGTAATGACACTGCTTTCGAATTGCGTCATATCTGCTTCCTTTCTCAAACCTCATTTTGCGCTGATAATGTGCCTAATGAGCTTGCGTTTTCCGGAATACTTCGGCTCTCTTCGAAGAGAAATTAACAACCGACTCATTCTTATGAATACAAATATTGTTTTTTCATTTGGAAGCCTACATAAAGTTTGAGGCAGAGAGTTAGTTTTTGCATTTTCATTATGGACTGACTGACTTTCCCGGTCCAGCCCGGGGTATTGTTCGTTGTGGGATAGATGCTATAGGTTGTCAGCAAGATTACTGCACTGCGAGTATCCTCCAGTATCCCCCGCCCCTCTTCTTTGTTATAGATGACCTACCCTGAGACATCCACTTCGATACCGCATCCTTGTGATCCTGAGGTGGAAATGAGATTACCGCCCTCGCTTTGACTATGGGAAAATGTTCGGTTGAAACAGATAAGTCCTAATTTCCTCAGAAGAACGTAAACAAATCAATAGTCTATAGAAGAACCCAACGACTCGCCCAAATAGTAGCCTATCATGTGCGCAGAGGTAGAGAACATATGTGTGCAAAGTTTCGGTTCAATTGGTTGAACCGCACTCGTTTCTACATTACACATACCCGCCAAACTGACAATTCTGAGTTTTATTCATATATTAGCTTGCTTACCCGGCTCCGCTCGGCCCTGTCAAATAAAGTTCATCCCTATCCCTGTAAAGCCTTTTCCTGTGCTCACTTCTACACTTTATTTCCCGTTCCCTGTGTTGTTTTCGAAATGAACACGCTCACTTACCCCCCTTGCCAACTCCCAGCCCTGTAGCTCAAACTTTGCAAAAAATCGACAAAATCGATTAAAGTAATTGATAATTCTGAAAACTAATCTTGTATTCGGAATCGCCATGCCCACTTACCCCACTGTGCCAACTCCCAGCCCCGTAAGTGGACTCTGCAAAAAGTCGATAAAAATCGATAAAATCGAGATCGATCGATGACGAAAAGTAGCCTATGACACGCTACCTGTCCCGAAGTATATGTGTGCCAAGTTTGGTCCAAATCGGTTCAGAAATAAAAATTTCTATTCCGCACATACGTACAGGCAGACATACATACATAATACATAGAAACACACATTCAGCTTTATATATATTAGGTCGGTGCAAAAGTTTTGTCAGTTTTTTCAATCCATCGGCAAACACGACAGAATGAAGATAAACAAACACTTCAACATGTATCCTATGCAGAATTTTTTCCTCTTTCCAGCTGCTAAACTCTCATTGTGTTTATATGAGAGAGTGATGAGATATTTGCTGGAAAATACAACCACTCGTTTTTACCGTGTCCAACTTTCGCTAATTTTCAAAATTTTTGTATGAGACTTTCGGAGGAGCCTCAATAACCAGCAGATAGGGCAAACCTTTTGCCAACAGATGAAATCTTTTGTAGCCCTATGGCTTGTCTTTCAGAATTTCTACGATTCATTTTTTGAGGTGACCAAATTTTACATTCAGCCTATTTTATCCTCGTAGAACATAAAATGTTAAACACTTCAGCCATCATTCGATGCAAATTTTTCTCCTCTTCCTAACACTTGTCTTTTTCAGGCGAAATTTGTGGGGCAAATCGCACTATTTCTCAATTTCAGGAGTGCGCACTGACGTAACCTATGTTTCAAAATCTTCATGTTTCGAGGCGAAAATCGCTCGTTTACTTTGTAATGCTAGCGGTAGTAATAACCGAGTGTTGAAACCTCAATATTCTGTAGTTTTTGCAATGTTTCTTGCAATAAAAGGTTACGCGATTTTTCTAAAACATAAGACTTTTGAAAAATTATTCGGCAAAATTCTGAATACCCGCTGAAAAAAAGCAAGAGGTTGCTTAAGTTGGCAAAAGCCCTATCTGGTGGTTATTAGGGCTCTTCCAAAAGTCTCATACAAAAAATTCAAAAAACAGCGAAAGTTGGACATGGTAAAAACGAGTGGTTGTAATTTCCAGTAAATATCTCGTCACCTCTGCAACGAAACACAATGGAAGTTTAGCAGCTGAAAAGAGGAAGATATCTGCATCGAATACACTTTAAAGTGTTTGTTTATTCTCATTCTAGCGTGTTTGCCGATGAATTGAAAAAAACTGACAAAACTTTTGCACTGACCTAATAAAATGGATAGTGAATCAGAAATTCATTCAACTCCACTCTTTTTACCAAATTTTACTGTTTAACCTATTTACGATAACTAAAAGCTCGGCTTGACAGTTCGCCCTTATCCTCCACACTCCTTTAGAAGCCTGGAAAAAGGTTACAACCACAATATAACATTCACATCATCACACGAGCTCTGATGTCTTTTTGCCTGCTTCTGGGTTGTCTCAAGAGTAAAATTGAATTTTTGAGTGGCTCCTGACTGAAGCTTGCATACCTATACCGCGGAAGTGGCAAATGCCATAAGCTCGTTTTCGCGGTCTATCGGCAACAACTTTTGGCAAGACTTGACTTAAAATCTAGTGACTAAAGGGGGGGGGAGGGTTAGCATACTAGTCGCGAACTAAATACACATCATCACAATATTCAATCGTCTAGTTGTTACTTGCAATTGAGTTGAAATGCTAGAATAATGTAGGGATAAAGAACGTTAAAAATAAATAAGACGTGATCATTTGTTTTCCCACTATTCTAATGACAAAATGTTGTATAGAATTGTACTGCGCTTTCTGTTATAGTCATTTATGAATGGCATAAATGGTTTTCTCAGCGAGGAGCTTGGAAGAAGGTTAATGTTAATTAAATTATCAATTGATTTTGATTTCTTACAATTCACTTTGCTTTTTGGAAATTCGTACACTTCATGACTTAAATTAAAAGGGACTAATGAATGCTATCATGTATAGCTAACATTAATCGAGCATTGGCAGCTTGACAGCTGTGTTAGCTAGTCTTAAATAACTGCTGAATAATTGATTAGCAAGAACGATCCATAGCAAGTTTTGCACGTTTTTATGCATTCAGTATCAAAGAACGAAATGTGAGTTTGATGATGCGAAAGAAGTCATTCAAAGCATTGCTGTATCTAATTGCAGAGTATACCATCCGATGAGCATCCGCTCTCACATTGAGTACACGGTGTTCCCGTAGTATAAACATGGTCGTAAAGAACGTTACCTCTGCAACAGCACTATAAAGCCCTTTTGACATAAAGAAAGAGAAAACTTACTTTGGCGAGTAACGACATACAACAAAATAGAAAGTGCCAAAGCAGTTCTTCACACCACAGCCGATCTTGTTTGACTTTGCCCACACCATCTGGTATTACTGAGCATAGTTTTACGGAAGTCAATATACACTTTGTAATTACCTGCGTCCATCTTAAGGGTGAGATAGGCTTGTCTCTAAAATAAGGAATAAAATGTGTTTCTTTATTCATTCCATTTCTAAGAATTTCCGTGAACCACTGATCGGCTGCCTGAAAAATTGTATGTACAAGAAAGAAATGTTTTGCAGCTGTGGAGCGGTCTGATATTAAAGTGTTAAAACTTTAATGAAATCTTTTAGTTTGAAAAAATTTTCTCAACTAAGATTCTCTTGAAGACAATCAGGGCCATGGTTGGCCCATTCGCCTAGGCCTCACCCTCCATGTCGGGGTATGACAGTCAAAGGGAAGATATCACAGAGATACAGAGATAAATGTGAAGTCGCCTCTGGGGTGCATATGGTCTTGGTCCTAATATCTACACATCGTTGGTCTGAACTACAATCATAGATGACGCAGAATGGCTGATTCACAAACATAGTAAGCCATTATGCAGTGGTTAATTTTTTGCTAGGATCTCATTGTGTTATGGAAGGATGGTAGTGTCTGACTGACTTAGACCGGTTAACTGTTGCATCGGATCTTTCAAACGTTTGTGTTTACTCATTGATTTACCTGCACTTTGAATTGTTGGCGCATTACGTGCAATAATAAATAAATAAATAAATCAGTAGATTGTCATATATGTTGTGTTATAGTTTCGTCTTCCTTTGGAAAAGTCTAGAAAAGTCGGCAAAGTCTCGTATATAGCACATGTGAGAAGAGGTGAGGGACTATCCATTAGCGTCAACTTCGCCCTCTTGGAAAGTTGAATAGACAGCTGAACAATTAGTTGAACAGATAAAAAGGCATGCTAATGGCACTCCTATTCTTCTTTCTTTTTTGAAAAATCTCTCTCTATTTTAAACTTTAGATTTTTCTTTGAATTTGAGTCCAATAGTCCCACGAAGGCGGTTCGGAAGTAGGCTCTTCAATAAAGCAAGTTGGGAATTTGCCAAAAATAAATTGGAAAATTTTCAAAAAAAATTTATTATCTATGTCCGACATGTAGATATCGATACACCATTTCACGTGATTTTTGACTGAGGAAAAAATTCGTTGAGGAAGTTATGAAAAATTCACTGTTGAGTGTAGCAGAACTTATGTAACAACACAATACTTTCTGTTGAGCTAACGTTAAATTTTCGGGAGACTTTTACTTTCTGTGGCATTTTTGGCAGAAAGCTCTTCCAATGTTCAAGAATCGCTTTCAAGCTTGCTAGTAACCAAACGTGCACTTAGACTTTTGGAAAATCTGTAAAATTTCTACAGTTCTCCTCAATTTTTTGGGAGGATCAGAATACCGCGAATGAACCGCCAAAGACATCGCGAAGAAAATCATGATAACGAAAAAGCACAGGAAAAAGGCACAAGAGAGAAACCAAGAATAAGTTTTAACAAGAAAAAGAGGATATGGTATGCTTACAAGACTACCGTAATGTGTATGTAAACTGTGAACTTTGGCTGTATGTGGATTTGCGGTATCGATCATGCTATGAGGTGAGTCCTGTCTCTTATGAAGCAAATTTGAGAAATCCATTAAATTCTTCCTTTTGAGACAAAAAAAGGTGTGAACCCTATATTTTCAAGGACTTTTTTATGCGCGATTAGATCGTGATACGCTGCTTCAGTATAATAAAAAACATCAGTGCGCAATGGGAGAGGGAAGAGAGTTAAAGGGGAGGAGAGGGAAGGAGGTCCTGGGATTTTACGACCATGAACAGCATGCTCCATCTAGGCAAATAAAGTAGCATTTTTGTAAAGCTAGAGCTTCTATAGTTCGTTAATGCCGGAGTGCGCATATCATACACAGTCATAACAAGAGTACCACAACAAATCTGCTTCTTCGATCTTGACGGCTGCTCCAGATATTTAGATTCGAGTTGATCTGCAAAAAGCTCGTGTTCTATATTTGCGCACACAAGCTGCATTTTCGGGATCAGTAGGACGGATAAGCTTAGGTGCGATTCTGATCCTTGACTGAGATGCCAGAGCGATTCCACAATTCCACACTTGCTTTCTTTAGCAGCGCGGCATGAATTTTTATGTGCACCACTTAAGATGAAGATAATGCTCTGATCTCGCATATGAATTGAGCATCCGTTTTTTCTTCGGGTCTGCTCATCTGCGATCTTTGTGGCACACGCCCCCCACCCCCTTTTTGAAGGGAAAGAGGCTACAGGTCACAGCTGATCTTCTTTTGAAGTAAAACCCTTAAAAAAGTTTTTCTGTTTCTTAAATCCCTGAGATGCTCAGTATATCTTTACTGCCTATCCGCAACACCCCTATCACAAGGCTTGAAGAGTATTAATCATGATAAGTACCATGTAAATAACAGGACTTCTCAAATGGTCTATATTTGGGTCCGTAACATCGCTAGGGTAGAGGTGGATGATCAACCAACCAACCATGTCTTTTCGCGCATGCTACAATACCGTGTGAAGGTCGTAGTCTCCGCAAACTGTGAGCGAAACTCGTCTTTCTGCCCGTAATCGTTGCTCTAAAGTTATCTTAAAAAACGTGCTTGAAACTCACATTGGCCAAGAGTTGTCCGTTAGTATATGTAGCACCGCTGGGTTCAATCACGGCTATATTCTCACCATATGATGGACGCTTATCCTCAGGAGTTTGTGTGAGTGTGCACGAATCAGCCACGGTTTGAGCATCTGTCTCCAAAGCACAATCGTAGTCCTACAAAGTGCAAAACTATGACTATCAGTAACCACACATACCAAAAAAATTACAATTTTTCTCATGTTTCTCGCTTGCAATAGCTTCGTTCCGCTAATTCCATTATTTACAATACCGCTGGCAACTTCCCTTCTGAAAAAAATTACTTCAACACTTGAATATGAAACATTGGATAAGAGTTCCATTTGCTCTACTACTTCGGATCTAGGTGCAGTTTGAGGAAGGCTGAGAAACCATTCAAATACATGGTTTGCGAAAGATAAAAGTTTTCTTCTTTAATGCTTTTGAACCCAATCTCAACTCGCATCGCTTAAACGACAAAACTAGTCCCTCCCGTTATGCACAACTAGAGAGGTGACCGTTCTTATCTTTCTCTGTGCGGCCTGTTCAACTACTATATTGCATATTGTTTCAGAACAGCTCTGTGCCGCAGTTGGAGGAGAGTTTAAAAATATACCCTGTATTGGAATCGTAAACTAGATCTCTACTTGCAGTTTTTTATACCTTTAAGCCTTGTCGCTCACGACATGATAGTGGCCTTTATTTTCTTGATACTAACCTTCTCATATTATGAAGCTCCACCATTAAAATCCTTTCGCCCGCTGTAAGTGCGGTTCCCGAGCAACTATAATCTGCAAAGCAAAGCTTTGCTTGAGTTGATGGTTGCTTTTCTTTTCTTCCTCGAGAGCAACAAAGTGCAAAATAAGCATACCTCCCCTTGTACCTTGATGCAGACCCAAGCAAAGAACTCCCTGAAAATTTTTCGAAAAATTTCTGCTCAACAAAAATTAAATCCAAATTCATCTTTGTTGCTGCACATCAGCAAAAACTCATGTTTGTCTAGCTCAATGAACTACGTTCGCCTAGCGAAAGTGGACATTTGAAAATTGTGCGTATAATTTTACCGCACGATTCAATCTTCTTAAGGAACAGATGCACTCAATGCAATATCACAGTACTTTCTCGTTTCTTGTGAATCTTGTACAGCGCTGTTTACCTATAACTCAAGACGAACCGTTTTGATTTTTTCTCTAATGCTATGGTGCCCTTCACCAATACGAATGAGTGTAAGATTTGCGGTTCTTTAAAAACTAGAGGGCTGCAATGTTTGCGAAGCCATTAAGATAAGGGTTTTCTACAGATGTATAAAAGAAAGTGAAGAGTTCATTTGACCCATTCAAGTGGCATGTTGCTCAAGTAAACCAGCCTTTTATAAACCCCTAAGATTTTTACATACAGAATTCACGCCCTCCGAGAATTTTTCATAAGGCTTTGTAGAAACATAAAAGACATGTAACTCAGAAGATTGGTGATGATCAAGAAACGATGAATGATCAAGACTGTCGGTAAGTCTCTGTAATTACGAAGACATTAACTCACAACGGAATTTTCAATGGATTTCTTAATATGCTAGATTTGAGGTGATAGAGAAAGTTGATAAAAAGAAACAAGTGCATATATCCTTTTGCAACACCTCTACACTGCAAAAAAACCTGTTTGTGCAGGAATTAATAGTTGTAGACATGCATATTTTGGTATACCGTTAACATGCATTTTTTTTATTTCAAAATCACAGCCGGGACAGAGTACAGAACTTTTCATCTTTCACACGACGATATGCTAGCTTCGAATTTGTAAATATTAGGTTGTTGCATAAGTCTTGTTACACTTTAACTTCTTAAGACGATAAGTTGTGAACTTCATAATTTCAATAGGGCGCCAGGGTAACATTCGATAGAGCAAAGCAAGCTCTTCAAGACAGTATGCAAAAGTTCGCACCAGCTTCGACTCGCCGTAAGTTTGCATCCGGAATGTGAGTCGCAAGAAGGCTCAAAAATTTAGGAAAAATTTATATTTTGCAAAAAAATCCTCCGCATTTCCAACTTGTTTAGGCAGATTGCACACCACATCAGACACTCATATGTACCGTTGCTGTATTTTTTCCTCGTTTTGAAATTGAGAAAACGAAAACTTTCTTGTTTTACAAAAACGGAGCTGTGCTGTTTCTATTCATGTAGCGGTATACTACAAGCCCTTAGAAGTATAACCGTAAATTTTCAGCTTTCCATAAGCCCTAGTTTTTAAAAAATATCGAATTTACCATTGAACACCCAAGTGAGAAAAGCTAAATTCCGTATTTTTCGAATTAGGGCTTGTGGAGAGCTGAAAGTTTACGGTTATACTTCTAGAGGCTTGTAGTATACAGCTACATGAACATAAACAGCATAGCTTCGTTTTTGTAAACTTAAAAAAAAATTTTTTTCTCGATTTCTAGATGAGGAAAAAATACAGCAACGGTACATTTGAGTGTTTGATATAGTGGGCAATATTCATGAACAAGTTGGAGATTCGCAGGATTTTTCTGAACAAAGATATGAATTCTTCGCAATTTTGGAGCCTTCACTACGATCCAGATTTTGGATGCAAAGTTAGAGTGAGTAGAAGTTGGTGCGAACTTTTGCATACTTTCTTGTAGAGCTTGCTTTGCTATATCGAATGGTATCCTCGAGCCCTGTAAAGAATATGAGGTGCATGACTTATCGCAGTTAGAAGTTAGGTGTTACAAGACTTATGTAACAACCTGATAGTTGCAATTGTTGAAAGAAGGATTCCTTTATTATTTTTTATCAACGCTTAATTTCTAAGTAAGCGTCCATCCATTGGTCCTTCTGAATTAGAAGGCCACTTTAAAAGTAGTGTTTGACCAAGGAACACAAGGCAAGTAAGCAACTTCCTCTTAGTGCGCAACTACGCTCTCAAAAGCAGAGTTCCTACTTTTGTTTCTAAAAATCCTGCAAGACAAAGTCACGTAAAGCCTACCAGTAGAAGCGAAGCCAACATTCTGGAACTGCTTGTTGGAGTCACCTTCACGGCTGCTTTTTATAAGAGTAAAGGACATACCTGCTATTTACACCTATTACTTGCTATCCACATTCAAATACAAGAATTCTCTTTCACTGAGAAATTTGCTTGAATTTTTGGTGCAATTTATTGATGCAAAGTGAAGAATTCCTTCTTCTGACCTGCGAATCAAAAGAAATTCATTGTTTGCATTCTATACGGGGATTGAATGAAATTCCCAAAGGTGAATCATTTACCAATGAAGTAGACCCCATTGTCCAGGCAATATATGCAATATGAATGCACCAAATGATTTTGCTTGATGAGAGAACCAGGAAAACCGCTCGTTTGTAAGAAATTCGAAAGATTATAGGAAATGACTTCTTTTGTACACATTTTGGAACCTATTGAGCAGTTAATCACGATTTCGTAATCTCAATACACAATTGATTACTTTGAAGGTGTTGAGTCTGCTTCCGAGTTTCGCCGTTTCGAGTACATGGCATGGCAAATGTGTGACGCTGCTCCGAACAAGATTTCTCACAATCTCTATCTCTATTAACTGACTCGGCGATTCTGATGTCGTCAAATTGTAAGGTCGAGTTTAGATTATTTTTTTGTCTTAGTTATCAGTAGAAAAGACAGCTCAAGCTATGACCAAGATAGATAACACCGAGAACTACGGCAGCTGATTTTAATTTCGGGTTACGCTCGAAAGCAATGAACCTTCTAGCGAGACGATCGCACCACTCTTCCTATACGTGCTTCTATCATGGCAAGTCCACACAAGAAACCAAAGCATATTAGCTCTCTCGTTTCAGCTATGCACTCTTCCTTAGCGTTTCCTTTGGGTTTTTCGCATATATGCAGAAAGCTCCTGAAATTTTGCGCGCTAGGATATCAGGCTCATGGAGACTAGATCTTAACTTCAACTTGAAACGCTACATCGCGAACATTGAGTCAGATATTTGTTTCAATAACTTCAATCAACGCTGCCTTAGCATCAGATTTACGCGAGAGATGCGCAACAAGAACTGATTCCCTCACTTCAGTGTAAAAATCCTCCCAACAAATAGAAAGCTATTAGGTTGTCCCAAAAGTAAACCGTATTTTTGCACAAATCAAACTGTTCTTGTTTTTCTGGCAGGCTTGGGGGACCATTCGATAGAGCGAAGCAAGCTCTACAAAACGACCACCAAAGAACCGTCTAAGTCGCTATCCAGGTGAAATTTGAATCCAAAAATCAAAATTTTTCAGCTACCCTAAAAATCGGATCTCCTTCCAGAAAATTCCTACGGACTTCCAACGTAGTCCTTGTATAGTAGACACATAGTAGTATCGAAAAATAATTTTGGTTGATTTCTTCAGGAGTTCAAAATTGAGAAACAAAGGGGGTCCCAAAATGCCAAAATGCCACTTTTTTCGGGTTTTTTTATGTAAAACTTGGTATTTTTCGAATATAAGAGCACGTAAAGGGGTTAGGTTTTGAAATTGTACTTAGTAAGGCTTGTAGTATACAATCACATATGTGGGAGGGGCTGGGGGAGGAGTTTGCCATTTTTGGACAATTTTTGTTTCTCGCTTTCTATGCTCGGAAAAAATTCGGCAAAAGCTTATTTGAGTACTACTATGTGTCTGCTGTATAATGACCAAGTTGGGGGTCTGTAGGTTTTTTCCTCGCAAAAATTCAATTTTCAGTTGAAAAATTTTTTTTCGATTTTGGCTTCAAACTTTACATGGAATGCGACTTAGGCGGACCCTTGGTGATCAGTTTGCAGAGCTGCGCTTCGCTCTATCGAATGGTACCCCAAGTCTGCCAGGAAAACAAAAATAGTTTGATTTATTCAAAAATACGGTTTACTTTTGGGACAACCTAATATATGTCATTGTAAAGAGCGAGAAGGAGCAAGAATATAATAATACATAACTTCTCCACTCAAATAAAAAACTGTAAGAAGGAATTGGCCAGAGTTTACAAGCATTGCATGTGTGGTCTTAACGCATATGACGGTCCTGCAAGTGCTGCAAGTATTGCACCTGTCAGCGGTGTTGAAAATTTAACGTTGAGATCAGCAGCAGATTCCTGCAGCGTGCTGAGTAGGTCATTTGCTCACTAATTGCACAAGTGCCAAATCTTACATCAAACACGCACACTCATTAAATTTTACGTTCTCAAACCGTTTACTGAACAAGTCTCCACTTCAAGAAAAGGTTTGTATGGGATTGCATATGAAATCAAAACCAAAAAATTTTGAGCGAAACATTAGAAAATTTTACATTAATGTGACCGATGACTCTTAATTTCCCGAGATCGGCTACTGCTGCCTATCTAACAAAGCGCTTCAAATTTTCGTATTAATCTGATGCTGATACATACAATTTTCAATCTCAATGAAGGAGATTCTAGTTGAATTAAAACGTGGTCAATAAATATGCAAACCTGAACTGTTTGCTTCTAGAATGATGAATGATTAATTACGCCCTTCCTAACAATTACACGCTTTGGAAGACCTACATGCTGCATTAAACGTCCACATGCACACAGTCGGCCGTATGTCCGTCAGAAACATCGCCCTTATCTGGAAACTCCTTTTCGACTCTTTGGTAAGTATTTGATACTAGAAAGCTCCAGGTCTTCCGCCTTCGAGGATCTCTATCGAAGAATCAAGCGGCCATATCAATGGCAACCACAGCTGATGCATGAGATGAATATGTCCAACGTTCGTTTATCATGACTTATAATGAAGCGCTAAGGCCGTCTGTCTGTCCATGTGTGTGTATGTCTGTCTGTCACGAAATTCAGAGAATGAGTTGCAGCAAACATTTCGAGCCACAATTTTGGATGACGCAATTTGCCAGCATAGGTCCGTGATCCAAAAGTACGAGCGCAACTGTATGGAACTTGAAAACTGCGCATCAAACGGATCCACGCGGCTTCTGCAAAACTGGAGCCGTATTTAGACTTTTTTACTTGAGAGTTATCTGGCATGTATATCATCTGCAAGCCATCGCCGTAGGCCCAAAAAGTCGCCGTAACTCTTATTTTTTTCTGAAACGGCATAAAAAAGTAATGATTGCGTGGATTGTCGATTTGTCACTGAAGAAAATGAGAGATTTGTACTCAGATGTTCAGCTTACGGTTGCTATCGTCTCCATGGCGAATTTGGCTCCAAAAGAAATTTGGTAAGTGATTCAAATTCGAATTTGCTCACTTGCAAAAACGTTTTTTCTTAAAAGCCATCGATTTTACAAGAAGTATTTGAAATGAGTAATTGTTTACAGCTCATTCGTGATGGTCAGCATTGCACGGTGAGTTCCAAAGTCAATACATCACTACGCGTGCGCGAGGAACGCATATGTTGATAGAACCAGTGCCTCTGCGAAGCAGAGGTGAAGCACTGGTATAAATATAATATAAAGATTTTTATACAGATTCGTTGCTCAAAGGATATCTTCTTTCGCCTATGCCTTAGACACAGAAAAAACAGTGTTATTACCAAGCCAAAGCGATATCTCGATATGCTTAAATGACTGCGAGATTTCATCCTCTTTATCGATCAAAGATGACAGCTTATCAAAGTTGCACGTTACCAATTTCCTTAAATTATCAATGAAAGATGATGGAAGAGTGAGTTCTAAGAAGTCTTCAAAGGAGAAAAGGAAAGCGAAATTAAAATTCTTGAAATGACAGCAGACGTTTTGAAAATCTCTGGGATGCTATCCTTATCTTGCAGCGAAAATTGTACATAGATCGATAATAATCAAGTCACATGTTGAACATTGCTTATTCGCTGATTTGCAAAAGTCCCTGTACTGCGCAATCTTTGCCATGTTTGTCCGGGTCCGAGTTTGCTCTTGCTCGATTTGGGCTGCTGAACTATTTTATTTCTGCATCAAGTGAGAATCCAATGAAGAGACTTGCTTGATTTGCACATATGGCTTTTGTTCACTTCATTCTGTAAACCGATTTTTATCTGGTAATGCTAGGAGAGAAAAAATCCCATTTTGATTTGTCGTAACAGCATCTAAAAAACAACAAACTTTATTCAAAATTTTTCGGGTGTAATAACGCTCTTTTAGTGGTAACTTTTGATTCAACTGGCTTGGCGGCTGGAAGGAGGGCTTTGTGACCAATTAGGGCCTAAGGCATACCTCACGCGATTCGGCCAAATCGCCATTTTTACGCGACTTGGCGATTTGCCAGATTTCTATAGACTAATCATGCGCACTTCTCGGACGTGTATCTAGATAGCTCGTACAAGTTGACAAACAGAGCAAGTTCTGACCAGGCAGCGCATCAACAAGAATTACGGAGAGTCGCTGTTGTGAGAAATCGCGCAACGACCGGAATCGCGCGAGGTATGGCTTAGGCCTGAGGCCACTCGTGACCGCGATGCAGTCTGTGTCCTTGTCGCGCGCGTGCACCCTGATCGTTATCTAGCCTCAATTTGCTCACGAAGCCACACCTTCTAGCCTCCAAGCCGTTGAAACGAAGGGTCTATGCCCTACTACGCAGGAAATTTTACAAGGCTGCAAAACTTCCTTTGACCACTTAAATCAAAACTAAACTAAAGACCATAAAAACCTGTTCGGCACAAAATCGCCTACAACAAACGTAAAATGCCCAGGTTCAAAGAAGAGGGCACATGGAAACTACTCAATCAAAATTTGCTTAGCTTCCAGTTGTAGTTAGAAATCAGCTACAAGTACCATACACCAGTGGCGTACCGAGGGGGGGGGGGCGGGGGGGGGGGCGGGGGGGGCGCGCGCCCCCCCCCCCCCCGAGAACGGGTCGCGAAATTTTTGAAAGTTACTTACATGAGTTATAAAAATGTGCAAATGACTTGTTTATTTTTGTAAACAATTAAAATAATTTTTAAAAATTTTTAAAAATTTAAATTAGCCTTATAAAAAAAAAATTTTCGGGGGCGTGGCTGACGCCACGCCCCCTTTTTCCAGATTTTAGGGGTTGGGGGCCCGCAAAATTGTTGAGAAGCACCCCTAAAAAATTTTCGGAGTGCGTGGCTAACGCCACCCACCTTCATTTGAAAATTTTTTTTGCCGCGCCCCCCCCCCCGAGCCGAAATCCTGGGTACGCCACTGCCATACACATATATCAAGCAGCCTACTTGTTAAATATGCTTACTTCTAAACTAACCGCAGACTTTTTGCGATTGGAAAGGCGCGGTCTTCGAACAGCTGAGGTTCATATTTTGTGCACCCATCCGTGATTCACAAACAAGCTGAGTCTATGGATCTTTGTTGACAAAGAGAAAAATTTCTATTGTTTGCATCGTCGCGAGATAATTTTTGCAGGGAGGTCGCATGCAACGAGTGTGAGAGCTCTGACCTAAACAGCCAGTTCTGCTACAGTAAGTAATCTTGAGTAAATCTTGCAACGTCGTTGAAGATTTTTGAAGGTCGTCACATAAACTGAAGCAAAGATTCAAGTATTTCAAACTGGAAATACGATTCAGTGAAAGGGCAAAATGTTCTGTTTTCTTCTATGATCGTATGTCTACAGTAATGTGCAACACTAGAAAGAACCGTCAAAACAACGACTCTCGCAAAAAATTCAGAAGATTTCTACATTTAATCTTAGTGATGGTGAGGTTGAGATTTTACAATTGCTGATTGATTCAAACATTGTATCACATCGATGGGAAAAAATGAAAGCCATGGAAATTGTAAAGTAAGCAAAGATGGATCAAAAGTCAAGACTCCTGCTGACTTGTAGATTGACGATTGGGTGCCAAGCAGCATGAAGTCTGAGTTACCCTTAAGTGAATGCCGACAGTTGTTCATGCTTAAAGATGTTAACTCGTATTGGCACATATCAATTCAGCTCCCTTATCCTTAGCCGCGATTTCAGTCGCGACGCGAGTTGACAATTCGCCAGAAGCCTTCATATCCAAACTGGCAAGCTGCAAAGGTATAGTATGTACAACTTATGGGAAATGATGAAATGACCGTATCCTCTGTATATTTAAAATGTGCTCAAAATAGTTATGGAGAGTTGGAATATTGCCAAATCGCGACGCTATCGAAATCGCGTGAAGTGCGCCCGGCCCTTTAAAGTAGCGTTCATAGTCAGAAAGTTAAAGGAAAACAAGTCTGTATCTTTCCAGATAATATATAATATAATAACGAACTTTCTATGATTCTTTGGGATTCAGATTTGCAAATCCAGTAATAAAGGGTCTGCATTGATTACAACAGGGTGTTCATGTCCAGAAGACTGCTCGCCTCGCAAGCTGAAGCTTACCGCTTGATTATGAGAAAAGTTCTTTTTTGTTAGTTGTTATGGATTGAAAATTTTCAAACCGGTGTGAAGGCATAAACCTTGGACTCCAGCACAAGACTGCTGTGAAAGTCAACATGAACAAAACTTTGATGTTGACTGACGCTTACTCATCGATATATAATCTGTTAAGTAAACTAGTTTTGCAATTAGACAAAAACAATTACTGCTTTCATTATATAAGAGTTTGAGAGTCCTTTTGGCTTTCTTAATTACTAGACTTTTTGCTATAGTACATCTTGAATTTCCCTTGGTAGCCATTTCAAATAAATCGCCTTATAATAATCGAGAATGCTAATCAAATGTCTCCTCCTTTGCTTCGTTATCAATTCGGCAATGAGTGGACCCGTCTACATTGACGAACTCGAAGATCTGGTAGCAGAAGGACCTGATCGGTACGAATTGAAAATGCTGGATCGTAACAAGCAAATGATTAGGTACATAAATTGATTTAAACATTTAATAGAAGAATAAAAGAGCAGGATTGAATACCGCCGACCAAATGCATCAGTAGGACCATCATCATACAGCTCTTTCAAAGTATTTTGTGGAAGATAAAGTTTTTAGGTACATTTCTTCACATTATTCCACTCGTCTTTCTCCTCATTGTCCAGCAAAAGCTAAAATAAGTAATACTTCCAATATTTGAAGAAGAAACCTGAGCTCGATAGAGAGTCTGATACATCTCTATACCCCTTGGACAATTACCCTAATTTCGCGAGCCAAGGCGCACCCATTTCATCTTCTTTTTTGAAGAAAGCAGCTCGGCGCGCCAGTTTGCCCCGCGTCATGATCGCTACCCCAAACTATTGTCTTAGGTAAAGAGAGCACATCAGAGGGTCCCTTGGAATTGGTCCCGCGGAATTATTTGGCGGAGTTTAGGAAAAACGGGTGCGCCGTGATATTAGGGTATTTTTTTTTACTTTGCACTTTGCAAAATCTAAGGACAAAAGCACTGAGTTGTAATCGGCTAGCCCCACAAGTCATCATAGAAGCCTCCACGCATTCAACATTCTTTCGATTGTAAATTAAATAGAATGCGTTAAGCAAATGCCCGCAAAGGGTATTGAAAATGCCGAATACTTTTTCCTTTAGTGATATGATAAATTGTGTTAAACAACAATCATTTAAGGTCTGAGAAGCAACAACGCCTAAACGAGATTCTTGCACGGCAGACCCCTTATATTCAAGTAAAGTTTGTCAGGGCTTTCCAGCCAATTACTGCAGCTCCTTTTCAGCAAGCCTACAGTGCAAAAGTGCTATACGAGATGAATAAGCGTATTGCGAAAGCACAATACGAGCAGCAAATGGCCAATCTACGAGGACATGGCAACTTTGCCGCCCAAATGAATGCTATCAGAAATGACATGAGCATATCGTCAGCAGAAGCGGACCGGAGGAAAAAAGAAGTACGTTTGGAAGATGTAGAGACGATTTCGCAAACTTCACTGTTTAGCTAAGACGTCAGTACTACGCTGCATATCCTTCAGCAAGAGAAATTGCATGATTGTGCTCTTCAGTCGTGTTATTTGATTAAAGGCTGCGATCAGAGCTGTTCGTGCCGGTGTCGTACTGAAATTACAACGTTGCTCGCTCGGTTCGCTCTCACATAGTTTCAGCACGGCGCAGGCACAACTCTGGCACGCGGGCAACTCTGAACGTTGTCTGCATTCGAATGTAGGCTCATTTTTGAACTACTTTCTAGGAGATCTATCTACTGCTGATTCTTCATCTCGTTTTAGATATTAGAAGATTAACATATATAACAGTTTTAAATAAATCTGCGTATTCACAGTTCTTTTTTTGACACAATGTTCAAGTTCACAAACGCATCAAAATTCGAAAATACAGAGCATTTTTATGAGTGTATGTATGAGTGCATTTTTTGAATTGAATTTATCTAATTATTCAAACCTTATTTTGTTGATGAGCCTGATGATCTTGCGTTTTACCGCTAGCACTTCGGCTCTTTTCGAAAATAAATCAGCAACGACTCAATTTTATAGACATCTCCAATAGTTTATTGAAGGTTCAAGTCTACATCATTGAGCCATTGTTTTGGTATCTCAGCTATGAAGTACTCACCACCGGTTCGTTAATTCCACTCTCTTTACTGACTTTTACGCTTCATCCTGGTTATAATTTGATAGCTCGGTTGTCCTTTACAGTAATTTAGAACTCTAGAGTCGGTCGCTACAACTGCAGAAAATCTAGGATATTGCAGGCGATAAGAGAGAATGCGGAAACAAATAAAACGCGCTCATGCTCTCCGTTCTTAAGGAGGATTAAGAGCTTGTATCAAATTGTATTGCACTCTTTCATAACCATTCAAGATTGGCATCATGTTTTCTTTTCGAGGAATTTTAGTGTTGGTCAATAGCAGAGTCTTACAGATAAGTTCGCCTTTCTGACATGAAAAATCTATGAAAAATCGCCCTCGCACCGCCAAAGTCTTGCAGATAAGTCCTCCCATCAGATAAGTCCGCCCACAAATAAGTCCGGACTTATCTGACAGATTTCAGGGTAGTTATAATGGAAAGAAAGCGGACTTTTAGGAGGCGGACTCATCTGAAGAGCCATATTCGAGCCAAAAAAGCGGGCTTATCCTGATGGCGGACTTATCTGATGGGAGGGCTTATCTGTGAGGATTTAAGGTACTTTAATTTTGAGTTCTTACGATCATGTTCCTTTATCGATCGAGATAGGATTATGGTTCAAATTGGGAGGGTATGATGAATTATATCATGGTATAACTAACATAGACCGAGAGATGGAAGCTGCTATAGCCTCAGTGACTGCTGGAAAATTTGCAAAAGAAAGTCAACGGCAGGATATGTATATTTTTACGCATTCATTATAAAAGCTCAAGACAAAAATGTGAGTTTGCTCACAGAAAAAAGATATTCAAAGTATCTCGTTCAGTTGCAAAGTATACCGTCCGATGAGCATCCGCTCTCACATTGAGTACATGGTGTTCCTGTGGTATAAACATGGTCGTCAAGAACGTTACCCCTGCAACAGCAGAATAAAGCCCTTTAGACCTAAAAAGGGTTAAACTTACTTTGGCGAGTAACGACACACAACAAAGTAGAAGAGGCCAAAGCAGTTTTTGATACCACAGCCAATTTTGTTTGACTTTGCCCAGACCATCTGATATTACTGAGCTTAGTTTTACGGCAGCCTAATTATAATTTTGTAATTACCTGTGACCATCTCAAGGGTGAGAGCGGCTTGTCCCTAAAATAAGGAATGAAGTGTGTTTCTTTATTCATGCCATTCCTCAAAATCTCCGTGAACCACTGATCAGCTGCCTGGAAAATGCTATGTAAACGGAAATGTTTTGTAGCTGTGAAAGTGGTGTATGTGTTTACTAAGACCTTGATTTCTCTGACAATCGTAGTTCGAATTGCTGTATCTACAAAGAGATCATCTTGGAGAGTTATTACGTTCTTAAGTTTTGGAAGTTTACACTTTCCTCGTTTTCCTCTGAAAAACGTTGGAAAAAAGGCGGAAAAGTCTCATATATAACACATATGGGAAAGAGATAAAGAGATATCCATCAGCGTTTCGCCTTCCTGTATATAAGTTGAGTAGATATAAATGCAATTTTCTAACGGCACTTCAAGCTTCATTATTTTATTCATACCTTGAAAAATTTCTCATATTTTTTTTTGTCTTTTTAGATTTTCTATGGACTCGGTCAATAACACGAAGCGGTTTAGAAATTTTAGCTCTTCAATAACGCAAATATATGCGTATACGTCTTCAGGTCTAGGACTCTTCGACTTGTTTGCTCCTATCATATGTATTCAGCTCACTGTAAGGGCCTTTGTAACAAAAAAATGTTTCGGGAAGTCAGACGTCACAGCTGATCTCTAGAGAAAAAGCCTCCACGGAAAGTTTTATGTTTTTCAGGTTCTTTGGTTCCTATGTATCTAATATCAAAATTTGAAAAGGAATGGCAAGAATGGGGACCGAAAATCTGAGTTGACGTTGTCTTGAAAGGTCGTACTTCGAGAGCACACCGTAGCCTCTGACCTGAGTTGTGTGAGCTTCTCTTAAGATGAGAGGTAAATTTTTCACTGCCTATTCTGCACATCTTAGTTACAAAGATTGAAATCTATCATCATGCCCAGAGAACTACCATGAGAATAACAAGACTTGTCAAATGATATCAGCATTTTGGTTTGTAACGAAGGATAGAGGTGGATGATCAACCAACAAGAGCCACCTCCATAGACCAGCTTTTCGCACGTTACAACGTACCGTGAAGGCAGTAGACTGCGGAGGCTGTGAGCAAAACTCTTTTTCTACCCGTAATCGCTGGTTCAGTGTATCATTTTGGGAAACGTATGCAAAACTCACATTGGCCAAGAGTTGTCCATTAGTATATGTAGCACCGTTGGGTTCAATCACGGCTATATTCTCACCATATGTTGGACGCTTAGCTTCAGGAGTTTGCGTAAGTGTGCACGAATCAGCCACATTTTGAGCGTCTGTCTCCAGAGCACAATCATAATCCTAAAAAGTGGACATATAACTATGCGACCTCACATGCGGAAGGGATACCATTTTTTTCATATTTCTCGCTTGCAATAGCTTTGTGCCGCTGATTCCATTATTTACAATACCGCTGGCAACTTCCCTTCTGAAAAAAAATTACCTCAACACTTGAATATGAAACATTGGATAAGAGTTCCACTTGCTCTACCACTTCGGAGGTAGGTGCAGTTTGAGAATGGCGGATAAACCATTTGATTATATGGTTCGCAAAAGATAGAAATTTTCGTCTTTTTTGCTTTTGACCCCATCCTTGATTCGCATCGTTTAGACGAGTCATTCCAGCGATGCAAAACTAGAAAGGTGGCCGTTTTTCTCCTTCTCTGTGCGGTCTGTTCCATACTGTAACGCTTATTGCTTCAGAACAGATTTGTGCAGCGGTTGGGGAGGGAGGGTCGGAAAAAAGACCTTGGTTAGAATCGTAAACTGAATTTCCACTTACAGACCTTGAAACTTCTAACCTTTCGCTCATTATATGACAGTTGCCTTTATTTTCTTGATACTAACCTTCTCATATTATGAAGTTCCACCATTAGAATCCTTTCGCCCGGTGTAAGTGCGGTCCCAGAGCAACTATAATCTGCAAAACAAAGCTTTGTCTAAAAGGTGAAAAGAACAGCAAATGCAGAATATACATACCTGCCCTTGCAACTTGATGCAGACCAAAGCACAGGACCCCCTGAAAAAATTTTTCATTAAAAGACTTCTACTCAACAAGAAATGAAACAAAATCATCCTTGCTGCTGTTTCTCAAACATCGGATTTATGTTTGCCTAACTCGACGACATTATCAAACTATGTTGTCTTGCAAGCTTGACGACTCTTGAAAATTGATTGCGTATGATGTTACCAGCAAGATTCGCGTTGATGAGGATCAGATGCCTAGGGATATGATGGAGGTCTTCGGTTGGGGCATAGCTCTTGTACCAAAACAGGCAAAAGCCGCATCAACTGATTCTCCGGCAATCCACAAAAGTTCTGAGCATCATTCGAAAGAGCAAAGTAAGCACCGCAATGTAGAGCTAAAAGATCTGTACCAAATTCTATCCATGTGAAGTTAGCATCCAAAATTAGGAAGATTTGATTGCCCGAAAAATGGAGAAAAACAAACAGAACAGAACAACACAACAAACGCACATACGTTATAGTGCAAACATTTATAGATGCAGTCGACGTGTTTTAGTTGTCTAGAAATTAAATGAACATGTTCTTAGAGAATCGCTTGAGTTGTTTTCACACTAGTGGATTTGTAGATTTATACCACAACCCTTTGATAGCATATCCGTAAAGTTTTGGACTTTTGCAAAAGCGTTTTCAGAGACATGTCGAAATTGGCATTCAAAAACCTGAATGAGAGGAGCTAGACTCCAAGATTGGCAAAATTAAGAAAAATTTTTGTTTTCTCGATCTTCAGACTAGATAGGTGTATATATGAATGATTGGTGCAAAGAGTAAATTCTCTAAGCACGCTGCAAGTTTGATTTTTTCGAACAAAGTTATGATTTTTTTCTTTTTTCTGAGCATTGAAACTATAAGCCTCAACCTTCGCAGATCAAGTTTGATACAAATCTTCAGAATCTTTTTGTAGAGCTTGCTTTGCTCTAACGAATGAATTGTATGGTATTTTAGCACATAGGTTAAATAAAAGGAAAATGACTTATTGAGGTTTTATATAGTTTTTGTGCAAAACTTATGTTCTAACCTATATTAGGAAAACCTACCAGTAGGATCGAAGCCAACATTCTAAAGCTGTTTGTTGACGACGCTTTCAGGGTTCTTTTATAAGAGCAAAGGGGAACTACTTGCTATTCACACTGCATTTAGATATGGGAATTCTTCTTATCGACGAATTTACATAAATCTTTGATTCAAGGATTGAATGCAATTCAAGTGTTTTCAGTTTAGAGTCTCCTCGTAATAAAGTATTGTTTGCATTATTTGAAAGAGCATTCGTGCATAGACCTTTCGATCCATAAATCACTGATGTAAACCCCGTAATTCAAATAGAAGTGTCTATGCATATGCGATAACAATATACTAACCTATATGCTTAGCAGAAGGAACACAAAAACAGTTCGTTTGTAAAAGTCTCGAAAGCGCCAACATTACAAGAGATAATCTCTGTTTTCTGTGGAATTCAGCAGTCATTCACTATTTTCAGAGTCGGGAACGAGTCCTCCATTAAG